CCCCCCCGGTCGGGGCATCTATGGGAGGCAACCGATCGATGTTTCTCTCTCACATCAATGTTTCTCTCTCCCTCTCTCTCTCTTTCTCATCAGTAAAATAAAACAAAAATATCCTTGGGTGAGGATTAAAAAAAAGGTGTCAATAATGTATTTTCCTTATGGATTGTTGAGAAGACTAAATGAAATAATGCACATAAGTGGCATAGCTGACCTTTGTCTTTCTTTCCCACATTTTGCATTCTGAAATTAGAACAGGCTTTACTGTGATTTCTTGCAGTGATTTCGTTTTGCTCTGAGATCACTGTTGAGATCAGTGATCCGAGAGCAGGAAACGGAGTGTTTTATAGGCATGAAGGTGGAGTCAGTGTGCTCTGTCTAAGCTCATCCTGGGACTTGTCGTTACTGCTGGTCCTAAAGGAAGAAGGAAGGAGGGAAACACCATCTTAACTTGGGATGGTGAAGGTAGGGGTGCTCTTAATGTCATAGATGCTACGGGCAGTAGAGCGGGGATAGATGGTGATGGAAGGAGACTTGAGCTGGGTGGTGAACACAATACAATATACAGGTGATGGACTGTCAAATTGCACACCTGAAACTATCTATATAATGTTAATAACCAGTGCCACCCAATAAATTCAATAAGAAAAAAAGATTCTTTAGGCATCTTCGCTGAGCAAGAAATAACTCCCAGAAAGGAGAAGTTGGCAAGCATGTAGAACTACACGTCCTCGGACCAGCAAATGACACCCCCATGGAGGGTGTGGGCCGTCGGTTCTGGAAACATTTAGTTTCTGCTCCTGGCTCTGCCACTGACTGCTGTGCGAGCTTGTCCAAGTGTAACCTCTCTGAGCTGCTTCCTTCTACCAGTGGGCTCTTCCCACACGCCCCCATCATGTGGTCTGAGGCTCAGGTGGCTTAATACCTGAGCAGACTTGCCACCGGATCAGCAGCCAGTGGGTGGAAGCTGCCCCTCACTGTTCCCCGGGGCACACCTCTCCCCTCACACCTCCTTGCTACGGGCTGCTGAGGATTGCTTTCTCATTCATTCTTCCCTTCAACTCTCCCCCTCCTGCCCACTCTTCAAAGTCTATCTCTAATGTTATCTCCTCCATTCTGGGTGAGTGTTGCCCGCCTCTTAGAGATTTTTCAAATTCTGCCTTACAGTATTGCTTTTCCTGTGCTGTTCAACATACCCTAGAAAATTGTTAACCTTTGAGGGCAGGAGTGTGTCTTACTTTTGCAAACCCTGTAGTTCCAGCACAGTGGCATAGCAAAGAATGTGAAATCAAGGTCAAGCTTTTGCTGAGTACCTGCTATTCCTCAAACGGCACAGTGGTGAGCTAATCAGTCCTGGCCCACCCACGCCCCAGGGAGACCCCGCCAAGCAGAGGAATGCCCATGCGCTTCAGGTTGAGTGAGATTTCCCCTCGCACATCAGCTGGTGGATGGCCATGAACAGCTGTCTTCTGGATGGTGCTCTGCTGAGGGGAGCAGGGCTCGGTGGGGGGTGGGCGGGGGGGCGGGCAGGCCTGAGGAGGGAGGCTGGGCGCTGTCCTGGCTGAGGCCTGAGTCAGGGAGGTGCCATGTGGCTGGAAGGGGCTCTAGAGTGCATGCAAGAGGAAGGGATGAGGAGGGACGTTCTGTAGGGAAGCACACAGGTCAGGTCTCTGCTGGTGGAGGGGGCTGTGACCTGGGTCTGGGTCAGGTCTCTGCTGGTGGAGGGGGCTGTGACCTGGGCCTGGGTCAGGTCTCTGCTGGTGGAGGGGGCTGTGACCTGGGTCTGGGTCAGGTCTCTGCTGCTGGTGGAGGAGGGGGCTGTGACCTGGGTCTGGGTCAGGTCTCTGCTGGTGGTGGAGGGGGCTGTGACCTGGGTCTGGGTCAGGTCTCTGCTGGTGGAGGGGGCTGTGACCTGGGCCTGGGTCAGGTCTCTGCTGCTGGTGGAGGGGGCTGTGACCTGGGTCTGGGTCAGGTCTCTGCTGGTGGTGGAGGGGGCTGTGACCTGGGTCTGGGTCAGGTCTCTGCTGATGGTGGAGGGGGCTGTGATCTGGGTCTGGGTCAGGTCTCTGCTGGAAGAGGAGGAGGAGTCTGTGACCTGAGCCTGGGTCAGGTCTCTGCTGGTGGTGGAGGGGGCTGTGACCTGGGTCTGGGTCAGGTCTCTGCTGATGGTGGAGGGGGCTGTGACCTGGGTCTGGGTCAGGTCTCTGCTGATGGTGGTGGAGGGAGCTGTGACCTGGGTCTGGGTCAGGTCTCTGCTGATGGTGGAGGAGGAGGGAGGGGGCTGTGACCTGGGTCTGGGTCAGGTCTCTGCTGGTGGAGGAGGGGGCTGTGACCTGGGTCTGGGTCAGGTCTCTGCTGGTGGAGGGGGCTGTGACCTGGGTCTGGGTCAGGTCTCTGCTGGAGGAGGAGGAGGCTGGACCGGGCCTAAAGCCCCTATAGAACTGCTCTGTATGGGACAGCAGGTGCCTCCTGCTGGGCATGAGCTGAGGGTGCTGCATGGCTGGGTCAGTATTCACTGATCTGTGGGGCACCTGTCCACCCAGGTACTGAGCACTTTGGCGCTGGGCCAAACTACACCCCCAAATATCCTCCTGGGAACAGGAGGCCACTTGAAACCAGGTAGGGTGTGAGAGGCTCCATGTTACGTTGCAATCAGAAGAGTGTCGGCTCCGGAGC